CAGTGTTGGGAAGTAACTAGTTACATGTAACGGAATTACGTAATTTAATTTCAAAATAAAAGCAACTGTAATCAGTTACAGTTACTGAGAAAAAATGTGTAATTAAATTACAGTTACTTATGAAAACGTTAAGGATTACAAAGGTGGTTACATCTGATTTGTTCACACACACTCCCACATAAAGATTTAATTGATTTCTTTCATGAATTGCTGTGACTGCTCTAAAATATGAAACACCAATGTGCTTAAGAACATGCTTATTCAATAACTCTTTTGTTTCATTTATGGGTTTTCAGCTATGCTTCATTTTTTAAGATTAACAGTTTTTTTCCAAGGCATTGTTAGATTCCAGACAGTGTTTCTTGTCATAGCTATGCAAAGATTTGATTTCAAAAACAGCTATGTTATGATTTTAAATATGTATTTAAACTGATGATCTTGAAGTAAGTCTGATTTTGTGGTGGCTGTGCTTCAAAGGGGACATTGGATGCCCATCTTCCACAAGTTGGTATGATTCTTTAAGGTTTTCATAAAAATTCCTCTGTGGTCATGTTAAACAACACCCTTTTTACCTTGCTCTGTTCACAGCAGCTCGTTTTGGGGCATGTCCCTTTAAATGTTAATGAGCTCTGCTCACTCCGCCCCTCTCTTCCGTGGAAGAGCAAAGGCGATTTGCAAATGATCATAAAAAAATATAAAGTGTGAGACTTACTTCTTCTTGAAGTGCAGCTGGATCACAAACAATGGGTGCTGATCTATCCTTGAGATTTAACTTTTTAACAAAATATGCCTTGAATTGTCCCTCATTCAGAAAGCAGTCTGGAGTAAAATTATTTGCGCAGACATAAATTAATTTAGGTGTATTCGGTGGTGCATTACCATCAAAAACAAAACCAATGCAGTGCGTCCTCAGTGGCTCTGATGTCAGCAGAAAATTAACACTCTTATTTTCTTCTACATCACAAAACTACAAAACACCTGCATTGCTTACAAGACATTGTCGCTACAACTGTTCAAGCGCGGAGAGAATGATGGACTTCGTACAACTAGCTGAGGGTGAAACTATGCTAATACTAGACAGTACTTCAGTGGTTGTGGGCGGGGCCTGAGCAAATATGACATCATACTGCTCAGAAAATCAAAATGGCTGGATAATTGAGACTGTTTAGGTTTTTGGGCGATTAAAAAAAAAGATTGAATGGATTTTTATCATTGTAGGGTGGTGTACACACTGCTAAGATACATTTATGCAAACACCATGTAAAAGTGAATTTTGCATCCAATGTCTCCTTTAAAATTAAAATATAATCTTAATTCAAATGATGAAGGATTTCGAAAGTCTGACAGGAATCAGTGCTGACTGTTGAGTACTACTGTAAGGTTAACCCTGCCTGGTTTATGTTTGAAAATGATTAACAGTTTAAAACATTAGAAATTTAGAAAAGTAATCAAATGTAATCAGTTACATTACTTTAATAAAGTAATTGAAAAGTTACACTACTTATTACATTTTAAGTAAGGTAACTTGTAATCTGTAACCTTACATTTCCAAAGTAACCTTCCCAACACTGCTAGCAACAGCTGCTCGCATAAAATTCAAGGCATTAATGTTTGCCTACAAAACCACCACTGGCTCTGCACCCCTTTACCTAAATTCATTACTTCAGACTTATGTGCCCTCTAGAAGCCATGCGTCCTGCAAGTGAATGGAGCATTATTGTGCCATCCCAAAGAGGCACAAAATCACTTTCACAGACTCTTACATTAAATGTTCCCTCCTGGTGGAATGACCTGCCCAACTCAGTCCGTGCAGCTGAATCCTTAGCCATCTTCAAGAATCGGCTAAAAACACATCTCTTCCATCTTTATTTGACCCTCTAACTCTAGAACTCTCTATTCTAATTCTATTCTTTAAAAAAATAAAATAAATACTTGCCCCTTTTAGACTTGCACTCTATTCAGTTACTAACTGCTGGTTTAAAAAAAAAACTAACACTAGCTTCTATATTCTTTTTGTATTCTATCTATTTGTTTTCTTTTTATTTATTATATAATTTAAAAAAAGACCTTGCTTCGTGTGCTGCGTTATAACTGAGACGCATCGTTGCTCTTTTGTTGGTTTTGATTGCTTCCATTGTCCTCATTTGTAAGTCGCTTTGGATAAAAGCGTCTGCTAAATGACAATGTAAGTGTAAATTAATGTTAGCTTAGGTCTATTAAATAGTATTAACAGATAAAACCATTGATTTTAATAATGTATAGGAAGTTGAATTAACATGAACTGTTTTTCATTGTTAGTTCATGTTAATCAAATGGGACTTATTGTATAGTGTTATGCATATTCCTATTCATATTCAATTAAAAATATTCTATTCAAAAGTAAATATTAAAATTGAAAAGTATGTTTATATCTGTTGGTACTGTACAGTTTGGCTTATTTGCCTAGCAAAGCCTTAGAGAAGCATCTTTGGGCTGTTTGTATTACTCATAATTAAACTGATGATTGCGTTACAATCCAACTTTGTCCACAGTCAAAAAACTTTTTGATGTAACTTGGTGATCATTAACTTGATGGATAGAGATTTAAATCAAATCTAGAACAGGTTTCTACACAAATGTCCGTCTTTTAATTCCTTTGTTGAATGTATTATTCAAAGGAATGCCCATCAAAAGAACACACAGCTTAATTTGTGCCATCGCTATCTCTCGCTCTCTTGTTTTCATTCTCTTTTAAGTGAAATACTGTATCTCTTTGTTCCTCCTGCTCATCCATGGTGTAATCCTCTTATATTAGTCCACTGGATGAGGATAGAAAATCAAGCCAAGCAATAATCAAAATATACAGAGAAAAGTCCTTTTGAAGTGGGAGTCCCTGCCTGGCTTTACACACTATGAATAAGAAGAGTAAACAGCAGACTGTTGTGTGTAAGTGCATATTCTCTGCTGAGAGTAACAAGATCACTCATGTTTACAATGAAAAACCTGCATCTCTGAAAGCCACAGACCCTGAATTACCTTAAATTATATGGAATCATCTTCTTTGATATCGAAAAAGGATATGCAGGATTATTAGGCATATGAATAGATGTAAGCAAAAGGGCAGGTCTACAAAACAGACTTGAACTCAGGTGAAATCGATGTTACTGATCACAGGGAGACGTGATGTTAAAAGTTCTCATTGATTCTTTTTCAGCTGTTGTTTAAAATCACACAAATTGATTCTGTATGAAGGTCTATCTTTGTTTTCTTTGTCCTGAATCAATGATCTGAGATCATTATGCAACTTTAGTCTTTTAATTTCCAATAATGCACTGACAGTTTCTCTAGATGTAAACAGACACATACAGCTTCACAGTTTTATTTAATGCAAATGTTATTGCAGGACTATAGATAGCAGATGGCCTTTTTTAAGATATACTGGGATTTTTAAATGTGGCAAGCATAATCTCAAGACATAAAAATGCAATAATGTATAGGCTAGGGTTTTCAACCTGTGACAACTCCAGGGGGGCGCGAGCATCAGTTAATTCAGAGACGTTCCCTTGAGAATTTATGAATATGAGTTAACAAATCTTTAGCCATTCACTAGGGGGTAATCTGACTCCCACTGCTAGTCGACAGTTAGAGCAGAGTTGGCTCGAGTATCAGTCACGCTCAGTGTTGCCAAGTCCGGCTCCGCTCTCGTTTGTCTCTCTTTTCGAGGAAAGGGGGGCAGCCATCTGCTTCCCGCGGCTCAGGACCCACCGCCGCTGAGGCACGGGGGAGGATGGGCTCGTGGGGATCGCAGGTGGATCCGGCTGATGAGTTTAAAAAGGGGGTTTCCCTCTCCCGCTCGTCGGCTGTGGACGTGAGTAAGCTGCTGGAAGATGATGTTATTTCTTTAACATCGTTTGATCCGGGGGCCGGTGCTCTGCTGGGTTCGGCCCGGTAAGAGCAGGAGATGTCTGAGGACGGTGAAGAAGCTGAGGCTGAGCCTTCCCAATCCTCCTGCTCTGCGTATGGTGAGTTTTGAGCGTTATCTTTCTTACGCATTCATCGATTCCAGCATACGAGTTATGCCAACATTGAGGCGATGTGCGGAAACGACTATGAGAGGATGCCCCTGTAAAAAAGACGACTGGCTAGCTATCTTTCTATGGGTGAGACGTCCTCTCTTAAAACTCCCTCCTTGCCATCTCGCTTAGATGGCAGGGCATACGCAGCAGGAGGTCAGGCTGTTGCTTCGTTGCGCACAATGTGGTGCTCCAGGCATATTAGGCTGACCTGCTGGAAGACCTGGATAAAGGTCTGATGAGGTAGCTGAGTTTCACTGCACCACAGATCTCACTCTCTGTGCTACTAAGCATGGCAGCTATAGTAGGTATTGAGAGACATCTGTGGGTGAATCTGGCAGATATCGGGATGGAAGAGAGGGGCTTTCTTCTCGATGCGCCGGTTTGCCTTCCGAATATTTTTGGTTACCTCCGTTGAGACGGTGGTCGAGAAGTTTAGGGAGGCAAAGGTGCGCTCAGCGGCCTTCAGTCCTTCATTTCACGATGGTCCAGGTCTAAGCCTGAACAGCATAGGGGTCCTGGTCCGTCTCGGTCTGAGGATCAGAGACGGCCACAGAAGGCTAGTGTCGCGGCTCGCGCTCCTCCCCCGCCTGCGGGTAGGGGGTAAAAGGAATCGCAGGTCAAATGGAGGTAGGCAAGACCTAGGGATGTGATCCAGACAAGGCATCAGCGCTTTCGTCCGGATCAGAGTGATACTTGAGTATCTACTCGTTTCCTTCGGGGGTCTTACATCTGCCCTTAGCTCCTAATTCCCCTATAACCACCAGCTCTCCACCTGACCGAGGTTAGGTAGGAATTTTCCTGCATTTCCGTCTCCTATGCTGGACCTATATGTTTGGTTGGTTCTATGGCTTCATAGTGACCACCTTGCTGATGGTCTGGACTAGAGGCTTCTTTGAGTCGCCTCTTGAACGGGGCTCCGGCGCGGGGACCATGGTGGGTGAGTATGATCCATTTTATATATATATATATATATATATATATACAGTATGTATGTATTTCATGTGCTGGTGGTTATGTGTGTATAATCCTTCTGTGAGATTTCTTTGCAGCGTTTTCCGGGACCTGTGTGTTTCTGTCCTTTCTAAGGTAGGTCCTTTGTGAGCACCCCTTTGCTGGATTCAGAAACCAGGTGCTCGACTTGCAGTGTTACCTCACTCGTCGATATTGTGTCCAGCCGGTATGATAGCCCTGGTTCCGGCTTCATGCGGCCAGGTCAGAGGCTTCTGCGGGAGCCTTCTTGATCATCAGGCCCCCGGCACGACACTGCAAAAAATTCCTGGATGTCCGGGCTCCAGGATATCCCCTCTTGTTGAGGCATCGAGCGGGAAGTATAGGTGGTATTTGCGAGAACCTTCTTAGTGTAATGCTGCCTCAGGCAGTGCTCCCCTCGCCTTAGAGGGTCGTATTTGAGCTTGCCTCTCCCGTTTGGCCCAGTACCTCCGGGTATCTGTGATCAGATGCCTGGAAATTTAAATCCATGCTATGGTAAGTGCACATGCTAAGCTCTGTGCACTTTCTGAAACCCACATAGTGGTAAGTGCGCACGTTGAACACTTTGCGGACTTTCTAAAATCCACAGTAGTGGTAAGTGTGCACGCTGAGCACTTTGCGCACTTTCTGAAATCCACATAAGTGGTAAGTGTGCACGCTAGACTATGCGCACTTTCTGAAATCCTGTACGGTAAGGGTTACGCGTTATAGCTTCGTTCCCTTTCTCTGAGTTGGTTAGACCCCGGTACCTTGGGCTCCACTCAACCAGTGTGTCTCTATTTTTGACACACTTGGAAGTATCGCTCCCCTCACCATTGAGGGTTACTATGAGCATGCTGTTTCCTATCGAGCGCCCGGGTTCGCTCCGTGGGCTGTTCTCGTGGTAGTATTAGCAGTGCTCCCCTTTACCAAAGGGTTGCCTATGAGCGCGCTATTCTTTCTGAGTTCGGAGTTCTCCTCTCACGTGAGAGTTGAGTTCTCTGTTTTCCTAGAGCACCTGGAACCAGTAGCATCAGGTGAACTAGGCCCTTCCAAATCCGCCTCTCTGATGCGCTGAGTTTTTGGCTAGCTTGCAGTACACTTATCTCTGATTTCTAACGATCATGCTGGGCGAGCCCCCTCTCTCGTTGAGAGCTGGGTCTGTGTTCCCTCAGCTAGGTAACTTACTGCTGGCAGTTCCAGTATTGGAACATGCTGTAGGTCTGAGCCTCCCTCTCGTTTTAGAGCTGGGTGTGTTGCTCCCTCAGCTAAGTAAATTATTGCTAGCTGTTCCAGCATTGGAACATGCGGTAGGTCGAGCTCCCCTCTCGTGTGATAGTTGGGTGTTTGCCCCCCTCAGCTAGAGATTTACTGCTAGCCATTCCAGCTTTATATCTTAGATCGAGCTGGTGACTCTCAAACATATTGGGTTTGGTATGCACCATTTCATCTATGAGCTGCTCTTTCAGAGTGCCACGAGACCCCCTTAGAACGGTATCCTAAAATCCATGTTATGGTAAGTGTGCACGTGAAGGCTTTGTGCGCCGGTGTGTTTCTGTCCTTTCTAGGGTAGGTCCTCTGTGAGCACCCCTTTGCTGGGTTCGCTCCGTGGGCTGTTCTCGTGGTAGTATTAGCAGTGCTCGGATCTGTGCATTTCTTATGTAAATAATGTTAATCAAAAAGAGGAAAATAAAAATTGTTTGCTGCTTTAATAGCTTTAATGGATATTTGCTTTTATGTTAATGTTAATAAAGTAATTCGGTGTGACTACAGTAATAGTCACAGTAATCTATTATTACAGTAATCCTAAAAGGTTGAAAACCCCTGGGCTAGGCCAGTGGTGCCCAACCCTGTTCCTGGAGATCTAACTACTTGCAGAGTTCAGTTCCAACCCTGCTTCAGCACACCTGCCTGTAATGATCAAGTGCTCATGAAGATCTTAATTAGCTGGTTAAGCCGTGTTTGATCAGGGTTGGAGCTGAACTTTGCAGGAAGGTAGATCTCCAGGAACAAGGTTGGGCACCACTGGGTTAGGCTGTAAAATATGAATGAACGCTAGATGGCGCCCTGCACCTTCATCTAAAAAGCGTACTCGCATTTATATCACACATGTAAGCTCGTAGAATAGCTATTTGTATTAAAAACAAAATTTCAGTACGATGTTTGTTTGGAAAAAAAAAAAAAAGAAACCTACTGTTTCCATCAAAAATCTTTCTTTGCTAAGCACTGAGGCTGAGCCACACACTTGCATTTGTGGTTCACGGTGACTTCTCGTGAAATCTCGCGATGGCTGACCGAGAACACAGCACGGGAAGAAATGACGTCTTGACAACAACACTAACAAAGTGAAAAAGGTATTTAAACGCTGTTAATGTTGCATACATTTAGACGAATAGCATTTTCTGTGTTTCTGTCACATATCACGTTATGATTATGGCACGTTAGGTTTTTGTTTGTCCAGTGTCTTTAGACATTCAAGCTTTGATGATAGTAGCTCAATGTAGAGCTGAATAATATGCTTTGTTGTATCTAAAAAATGTTTATGCTGTTACGACTGTGATTATGTGTTTTCACTTGCTTTTGCAGGTTATTGTTTTTATTTAATGTTTATAGTTTGATTAGATAATGCTAAAATGTGATGTATGGTTTATGTTTATATGTTTTAGGTGTAACATGTCAGTACTCTCTTTCTCTCTGTCTCTCTCTTATACAGACATGAATATATATTGTTAATGGACATGCCACAAAGTCCCACTGAATAGCCACCCAGCCACATCCCGCTGTCCCCATGACAACCCCTCCTCTGGCCCAGTTCCCTGGGCAACAGGCTCAGGCAGCTCGGGATGTGAACACAGCCTCGCTATGTCGGATCGGACAGGAGACGGTGCAGGACATCGTCTTACGAACCATGGAGATCTTTCAGCTGCTGAGAAACATGCAGGTAAGTTCATCCCCTCATAGGCATCCATCCACAGGTGAAGACTTTACCCCGGTGACTCTTATTCTCCCTGTCTTCTTACTCAGCTGCCGAATGGAGTCACCTATCATCCTAACACTCATCAGGACCGGTTGGGGAAACTGCAGGAGCACTTGCGGATGCTCTCTGTTCTTTTCCGAAAGCTCCGTCTTGTCTATGACAAATGCAATGAAAATTGTGCTGGTCTGGACCCCATCCCTCCCGAGGTGAGATTATGCTTTCTCTATCACATTCCAGTCTAGTTTAAATGAAACGGACTTACATTTCACTTCTTTCATGATATTAAGTCATTTGGTTCTGAATATGAAACCGATCTTGAATATTTTCAATAGTTTGATGCAATTTTAAAGAACCAATAAGTACAACTTTTAAGTTTAATGGCCAGTATAGTATTGGTCTTTGACTTTATACCGATATCAAAATTAACATTTGTCAGTCACCAGATGCCATTAAAAATGATTATTTGCCTGTAACATTTGCCTTAGTGAAGTGTTTACCATTAGAAGTTGATCTTGGATGCTGAATTTTTTTTTCTGTAACCATTGCAACTGCCAATGTGTACAGTAAAAAAGAAATTAACTTGCTACACCTTTTAGGTGGGTTGAGTTTTTTTTAAACAAGTAGGCCTAACTTACTTTATTTCATGCCTTCTCTTTTCTTTTATCGAAGAGAGCAGTGGAATAAAGTCATTACATCTGCAGTTATTTTATTTACATTTATTTATATTTCACCCCCTTGACAACTTTTATTTTCCTTTGAAGAACCAGGTAGTAACAATATATCCCATGTAAACTTGTAGAACAGTTATTTGTATTGAAAACAAAATTCAAGTACAATGTTTGTTTGAGTAAACTTCCATCAAAAATCTGTCTTTGCTAAGCACTGAGCCACACACTTTTTGTACCACACTTTGCTGGACCAAGCTGACTCACCAATCTTGTGAAATCTCGCACCCAACTTTTTTTTTTCTTTGAAGAACAAGGATTACCACTGTCTTGAAAAACCTGGATATATGCCATAGCCTAATTTTAAAAGTTATTTCTAGACCTGGTCATGTAAATAAATAAAATCGGTAAACTATATGAGCGTTGAATATACTTTTTTTTTTCGTTTTTAAATTGTATTAAGTGGAAAATGTAAAATGTAAAAATATTTGTAAAAATCCTTGTCTTTATTTCTTATCCAGTAAATCACGCACAACTGGAAAAGACATCAAGGGGCTTTTTTGAACAATGGGGGGTCTTTGAATCACAAAGGGTGAGAAACACTGGCCTGTGTAGAAAAAAAACTGACCACTGACATGATTGAAACATCTCATATGTGTGTGCATCATTTTAAACACACTTCTCAAAAGTATTAATTATATTATGAGGGTTTGATAACTTAAAAGAGTGGAGTTTGAGTGAATATTTAAGAGTGGATACATTTGATCTTGTACTTAAGCGAATTCTGTCCATCCATATCATATACTCGTCTGCGAATGTTTTAATTAGTGCACCTTGTGAGTGCTAGCTTTCAATTTCCAGCAGAGGAAACATCCTTGAATCACATTGTCAGCTTGACTTCCTATTAGCATTGAAGTGATCTAGTGATTGAGTCCAACTGAGATTCCCACTGACTGAGTTTGGTCACCCTAAGAGCTCATTGACGTCATGTCTGGACTTGTAAAGAACAAGCTCTGCAAGAGCTTGCATGTTTTTCAGATCTTCTGAAGCGCTGCTGTAATGACTTCTGGAAACATCTGGAATAAAATATAATGTTCAAATTGAGAAAAAAGGATATGAAAGACCAAAGAACTCATGAATCACAGGTACACATGAAACGTATGAAGTGTTGCTGTGATTTATACAATTTGGCCCTCGGGAATTAAGACTCAAATGTGTATGAGAGCAAATTAAGTCCTTTAGAGTTTGATCGAATGCACAGCTGGTCTGTTGAGTCACTTAAGCAAATCATTTGCACAGTCTTTTTTCTTTTGTTAAAGAGAGCGGTGGAATAAAGTCATTAGATCTGCAGTAGCTTTAACTGGAGGGTATGAACAACAGCCTTGAGAGTTGGAAATTCAGGTTCTTTCTTCTCATCAACAGTAGTGCCCCTGTGCTCACAGGATATTTATTTTGGCTCGGCCTCTTCTGTTTGGATTTCAGGTGTTCTCTTTAGCTCCTGTTGCGCTTTCTCTCCAAACAGGAAGTGCTGTAATGGAGTCATTACCTCATCACCTCGCTAATTAGCTGCGGCGCTCTGTAATGAACAGCTGGCGAAGTCCGTCATGTCAGCATTTTCCAACCCAGGCAATCACCGGCTCCCAACGGTGGAATTTCCTGCACAACGCAAACGAAATAGCCATGTCATTTCATTTACCACCTCACTTTTTCCATCCACTTCAGTCCCCTCAAAGTAATCAACCCGAGTGAACCTCACTGAATCATTGTTTTCAGGCAGCTGGCAGAACACATCCATCTTTCAGTGTCTGGACCTTGAGTAATGTGTTGTCCACGTTATATTAACTAGCTGGCTCTTTCTTACTCCACTTGCTGCCGACAGGTGGGTACTTCCTTTGAAACTCAATGTGAGTTTGGTTCAGAGATTGTTTTTGTTCTTGTTCTTTTCTAAAATTCGTCGGACCTAAAGTGCGCAAAGCTAATTGAATCAGTCCTCGAGCTACGGCTTGTGTCTTTTCTCTCTCTGCTGGGCCAGTCACCCTCCTGTGGTTTGCTGCATTTACTTCCTTGACAAACCTGCCAGGGGCTTTTCTCTCTCCCTTCTTTGCATTTCATATGATCAGATTTTTCCTTCTTGCTTTTCTGCTGGCATGTGACTGCCTAAAGCCTGTAAGGTCTGTTCTGTAAACCCTAGACTCATGAAATACGAGTGATTCAGAATGTGGGACTTGATTTTTCTGTTGCTGCTGAAATTATAGATCTTTTAAGCTGTTCATTGGTTACCTTTGCACTGCTGTTTTTGTGTTAAAGTTTGATTTAGGATTTCTATTTGAAATAAATGCTTTTTTTCTTTTACTTTCCCTTCCTTGAAGAATTCTGAGAAAAAAAGGTATCAGAGTTTCCATAAAAATATTACATTGCATTTATAATAATAATTTAAAAAAGTTTCTTGTGCACCAAATCAGTAATGGAGTAATGGCTGCTGAAAATAGAAAATAACAAATAGAAAAAAAAACAATTTGAAATCATAATAATTTACAGTATTACAGCTTTACTGTATTTTGATCAAATAAATGCAGACTTTCAAAAACATTTAAAACTTTTACCGACACCAGACTTTTTTATCGGTAGTAAAGATCTTTAGATTTATAAAATATATTCAGTTGTAATGGGTAGTTAATGCATAACATGTTTTATCATGGTTTTAAAATGCATATGAATGAGGGAATTTCATTGCACCGTTTGCCTTTTAGGCATCACTAGCCTTTACTGTTTAAATGGCCTTAAAAGTACAAATTTTTCCCAATATTTTCGTAATAAGCCTCATAATATGAGCTGCATGCATAATAAAAAAATTTTGCAAAATGCTATTTAAAATCGTTTCAAAAGAAGTATAGCACATCACACCTCAGGACGTCAACTTCCTACAAATATTTCGTCAACTATTCATGTGTCATTTACCTCTAGTTTATTTTTCATTTTAATCATATGCTGTCACATAACTCAATAATAGTCAGTGACAAATAACATCAAAAATCTTGAAAAAAAAGTTTTCCCTCTCATTTCCCATTGAAATGTTTCTTGTGAAAGTAGTTCTTGGATGTTTACAGAATAAAAGAATATAGTGTAGAAGTACTAATCTGAGCTTTATTAATAAAAAACAACAACATTTAAATGCAGCTATTTTTAATGAGAGAATTAAAAAGTGGTTTTATGCCCGTTATGATAAAACCAGCTGTCTATGAGGGAGTTTTTCTTTACTCGCATACACTGATTTTTCATCCAGAACACCAGCAGGTGTCACTGTGGATGTTAAAGCGAGGAGCAGCGAGACCGCTGTCTGTTTGGCAAGGTCACAGAATGATGGAACCGCAAGAAAAGAATGAGACACTTTATGGATCTCAGAAAGCATATGTGGGGAGAACTATTTGAACCATTGTCCTGCAGTAAATTGAGGGAAACAAAGTCGTATCAAAGGTGAATGAGATTTATTTGAGGGCGGATCTGACGGTCTGCTTTTACTGTAACCTCGTCCAAGGCTGTTGAGAGGGCTCAGACAATTTGTAAAGCTGAATTATTCAAACCACTTCATTTTAAAGCCAAAGGGCAGTGCCTGTGGAGTGATTTATTTAGGCAAAATAGCAGAGAAGGCTGTTTTGTTACAAAATTTAAAACCTATAAGATCTGGTGGTGTTGATTTCTCTGTTAAGGGTTACGATGAAAGCCTTTTGAATTATGCAACAATCCATTACTGGGGCTTCACCAGGTTGTTTAACTTTACAATCTCATCTCTTAAGCTCTTGTGTTGTTTAGACAATAGGTCACCACAGTGAGTGTTTACATAAAATTGTATTCAAACTGTGGTAGTTTTTGTCCTCGGATACTTTTTGTGATTATTTTTCAGGCTTTCAAATGCAGCTTTGGATAATGGCCCAGCTTAACCTTAGTTCAGGGCGCTCATCTTTTAAGCTGCCTAGAGATAACCCAACTATCAAAATTCATGTTTCTGTTCACAAATACCACCATATCGTTTTCATTCATTTTTAATCCAAGATGTTTTTCTTCAGGAAGGCATCAGATTGCTTGTGGCAAGTAAATAATCAAATACTCGTGTCTTGTGTGTGTATAGTGACCCTGATTTATACAGGTGAGATTTGAAAGGTGCCTCATTCATCTACTGTTGAGCATTACAAATAAATAGTATGATTGTTGAACCCTTGCAGCAATGACTTGTGATTTGTGGTAACTCAGTGATTGAATATCTAGGTTTGTGTCCTGAAGGTTGCAGGTTT